TCCTGCATCTGACTTTTGCTTGGCTTCTGCCCCTTCGTTGGATCTCCCAAGTCCAGAAGGGCCATTCCAGCCTCCTCCTAGGAGATCCTAGGCTCTGTTCTTTTGGACCTAACTTACCTGTAGATTTGTCTGTTTCTTTTCTCACATCCCTTCAGGTCCTGCACCTGCTGGCCACGCCCTCGCAATGTTTCCAGCTTTACCCAATACACACAGCATCTCCATGGCCCCTTCCTCCCTCATTTCTACCTGAAGACTCTTTATGAGCACACTCACACATACTAGCGTGCACACACACACACACACACACACACACACACACACACACACACACACGAACTGTTGCGGTAACGCCCACGCTACCACCACCCATTCACCATGTCCGAGAGAGGGGCTGTGGATTAAAAAATAGAGACAGGAAACAGCAGGTCATTCACCTCAGCAGAATGCCAGATGCTGTTTATCGAAAGAGGGAGGAAACCTTAAATACAGGCTTACAGCACAATGGAGGAACCCCAGAGGGCAGAAGTTCGCTACCCACTGTTCTACATTCCTGCATCTAAGCTGTTTCCACCAAATGCAGGATGCACAAACAAAGAACCTCCGGTAGACTGTTAGGTGAGAAGGAGACCGGCAGGGAATCAGCATAGGGAGGACATCTGGTCAAGGTCGGCAAGCAGGCAACAGCTCCCCAAAATGGGGGGGCCAGGGCCCGTCAATGAACCACATAAAATAAGGCATGCAAAGACCAGCTAAGCTGGTTGAGACTTAAGTTTCCTCTTCAGCTGGGCCTGGTAGCATGGGTCCATGACCCCAGCTGCTTGGAAGACTGAGGCAGGAGAATCGAAAGTTCAAGACCTGCCTAGGCTTTGAGTGAGCTCAAGGCTAGACTTAGTGAGGCTCTGTATCAAGAAAATAAAATGTCAAAAGATGATCGGGGTGTAGCTTGGTGGTTGGAAGCTCGCCCAGCCAGCCTGAGGCTCTAGATTCAGTCAGTCAATGAACAATCAGTCAGGACCCTTCACTGGGGAGAGGGTGGTGGGAACATAGGCAATTGTAGTGAAAGGAAACTATTGTTAGAGGAGATGAGGAAGCTGGAAGGGTAGCCGTGTGGGAAGGGCTTTGAAGAGCTGTTTTGTTTCAGGCTGAGCCTCACCCTAACATTGCCTCTCCTAGCGTTCTTCAGCTCTGTCTCTAGCCCTGCGGGATGGATGGCTTCTGCCATCCAGAGAGCGTCTGCCTTCAGAGTGTCTACCTGAGCAGGAAAAAGGCAACGACAACCACAGAAAGAAAGCCTACTGATCGTCGACCCAAAACAATAAATCAGTTGTTTATCTCGTATTGAGAGACCTCCTGAGTGCTGAGCTTATGATCCTCCGTCACCTCAGACATCATTAGCAATCCACGAACTGAGGCGACATCTCTAGAAAGCTTAGAAGAGTTGCTTTGTTGCACTCACTGAGCAGAGTTTGGCAAGACAGGGAAAACCCGGCTGCATCGAGAACAAAAGGTGCATTGGATGCTCCCTCCCCGGAATGACGTTCCAGCACACTGGGCAGTTTGAAAGGGAATCGGGGGTGGGAAAGACAACACACCAAAGCAAACAAACAAAGCTCCCGCTGCACAAACATGATGATCTGAGTTCGATCCCCAGCTGTGCTAGCGCAAGTGTTCTCATGCCAGCGCTGGGGGTGGAGACGGACATCCCTGCGACTCACCAGCCCACTGGCTCCCCGGCCAGTCTACCCACCTCATCAGTCCCCTGTCTCAAAGAGAGGACAGAGCAGATGGCTCCTGGTGAGTCACACTCAGGGTTGACTTCTGCCCTCCACATGCACACAGGAATACACTGGGGGCTGGGGTGGCATGGGAGTGTGGGTGGGGGCTGGGATGGGGTGGGAGTGTGGGTGGGGGCTGGGATGGGGTGGGAGTGTGGGTGGGGGCTGGGGTGGGGTGGGAGTGTGGGTGGGGCTGGGGTGGGGTAGGAGTGTGGGTGGGAGCTGGGAAGGGGTGGGAGTGTGGGTGGGGTGGGCTGGGGTGGGGCTGGGGTGGGGTGGGAGTGTGGGTGGGCTGGGGTGGGGTGGGAGTGTGGGTGGGGTGGGCTGGGGTGGGGCTGGGGTGGGGCTGGGGTGGGGTGGGAGTGTGGGTGGGGCTGGGGTGGGGTGGGAGTGTGGGTGGGGTGGGCTGGGGTGGGGCTGGGGTGGGGCTGGGGTGGGGTGGGAGTGTGGGTGGGGCTGGGGTGGGGTGGGAGTGTGGGTGGGGGGTGGGGGGAAGTTGGAAAGTCTTAGAAGCTGCCTCAGAATCCAGAATCAAGGTCTCTCTGATCTTCTCTGGTTTCTTCCCTAGCTCCTCTGTGAAGGAAGGGCTTCTAAAAGAAATGCACACGTTTTGCTCCCTTCACCCCTGGACGCTTTATCAACCAGGAAAATTAATCGAAAAAGATCTTTAAAACAAACATGGCGGGTGAATGCCTGTAATCGCAGTACTTGGGACTCGGATGCGGGAGGATCAAGGGTTCAAGGCTGGCCTAGGTTACATAAGACCCTGTCCCAAAAATATAAACAAAGAAACAGAAGACCCTTGTCTTGCTCGCCCAGACTTCTTAGCTAGTCATCTGAAGGGTGTTACTGAGTGACACTTTATCATTAGATTTTTCTGCTTAACATGATATTTTAATAAGTTCATCAGGTTGTAACAGCATATGTTCGTACTTCATCACTTTACGTGGCTGAGTAATATTCCACCGTGTGGATATGCAGCATTACCTATCTATTCATCACCGACAGACATTTGGGGGGTTTATGCCTTGTGGATATTTTCTTTTTTCCTCATTACGTAGCCTTAGTTGTCCTAGAACTCACTATGTGGACCAGACAGGCCTTGTGCTCCCTAAGGGCCACCATACCTGACTGCCTTTGGAGTATTATTTTTGTGGTAGTAGTCACTGAACCCAGGACCATTGAATGTGCTAGGCAAACACTCTACCATGGAACTATATCCCCAGTTTCTCATTATTTATCTATTTATGATGCTTGGCAATAAGCCCAGGGCCTTGTGCCTGCTAGGCACGTACTGTATTGGTGAGCACTATCCAGTTTCTACTTGTTTATGTGTTTGTGTGCTGGGCACCAACCCCAGGACCTTGTGCATATGAGGCAGGCACTCTCCTCGTGAGTTTTACATCCCAGTCTCTTTGGGATATTATTAATAACACTACTACAAACATTCGTGTGTATTTGCTCAGACACCAGCTTTCAATTCTTTTCAGTGTTTGCCTAGGAGCAGCATTTCTGGATCACACAGTAATCCCATATTCAGTGTTTTTGAAGAACCACCAGGCTCTTTTACGGTGGCTGAGCACAAAATCCTTTTTTATTGTCCCATTCAATATCTGCTACACATCACAGTTGAGTCTTTTTTTTTTTTGTCCCCAAGGCCTCCAGCAGAATGTCCCTCACTAGTTTGAAATTTCCCCTAGGCTAGTGCCCACAATGGTGAAATTTGTCATCAGCGTGCTGGCTAGTTTTTATATCAACCTGATACGAGTTAGAATTATCTGAGAGGAGGGAACCTGAACTGAGAAAAGGCCTCCATAAGATCAGGCTGCAGGCAAGCCTGTGAGGGAGGTATTTCTTAATTAGTGACTGGTGGGGGAGGGCCCAGCTCATTGTGGGTGGGGCCATCCCGGGCTGGTGGTCCTGGGTTCTATAAGGAAACAGGCTGAGCAAGCCATGATGAGCAAACCAGTAAGCAGCACCCCTCCCATGGCCTCTGCATCAGCTCCTGCCTCCAGATTCCTGCCCTGTTTGAGTTCCTGTCCTGACTTCCCTCAGTGGCGAACAGTGATACGGAAGTGTAAACCAAATAAACCCCTTCCTCCCCAAGTTGCTTTGGTCATGGTGTTTCACACAGTCATTGAAGCCCTGACAAAGACACCAAGGAATGACTGCTGCCGGAGGACCAGGTCCCAGGCCAGTCTCTCTCTTCAGCTCCCAGGAGAGGCACACCTAGGCACGTCTGTCCTTCCGTACCTTCACCGGTGGCCTACTCCATAGCCTCCCTAAGAAGTCATTGGATGGTTGAGGTGAAGTCAAGGTTGGATCAAGACTATGGGACAGTCTCCCCACAGAGCCAGGACAAGACTATGGGACAGTCTCCCCACAGAGCCAGGCTCTTGGGGCTGAGATAAACAAGGTAACAGCCATTCAGCATCATCAGGTGTAGGGCTGTTGATAAAGGTGCTGCAGTCTGAATGCACAGAAATCAAGTACTGCAATCTACCCCAAGGTGATAATATGGGGTGGGGGTCCTTTGGGACATCATTAGATCATGAGTGTCCATCTCCTCTGGATAGCCTTAGGAAAGAGGTCCTAAGGGAGCTGCCTGGCTCTCCCACCGTGTGAGGACCCATGGGGAACTCATCATCCAGGAGACACAGAGCCCTCCTCACCAGACATGGAGTTTGCTAGCTCGTTGATCTGAGACCTTCTAGTCTGCAGAATAGGGAGGCGAAATTTCTGTTGTTTGTTAACCGCCCTGCTTACGGTAACTGTGATGCTGTAGTGGACCAAGACACCGACTGCATGGGGACGTTGGACCCTTGAACTTCACCTAGCCAGTGTGTGACCCTGAGCAAGTCCCTTTCCGTCCCAAGGCCTCCATTTCTCAGTTGTCAAATGAAAGAGGCTTACTCTAGGGTTGTCCCCACAGTCCCGTGACCTGGGTCCTCAACTCCACCTTGCTCTGAAGCCCTGCCTCTCTCTCTCTCCATCTTCCTGAAAGCCCATGGTGTTCAGCTGGATAGAGACCCACAGAATGCAGACTGCCTGTGCTGGCCCCTTCCTTTCCCCTCTCTCCCAGCACGGGGTTTTCATCCACTGACCGCGGGGGCGGGGGCGGGGGCGGGGGCGGGGGCGGGGGCGGGGGCGGGGGCGGGGGCGGGGGCGGGGGCGGGGGCGGGGGCGGGGGGGCTCCCAGCGCTTCTCCCAGCAGCACCAGGTGCTGCTGCTGTGTGCAGAAGGCAAGCAGCGGCTACCCCGGGAGATGAAACAGTTGCTTCTGAGTGAGGCGTGGTGAGCTGTGCAGCCCTCACCTGATCCTTAGCGACGCTGGAGCGCCTTGGACTGCGTGGGCAAGGCAGCTTCCTGTCTGAATGCTCAGCCAGGAGGCGTTGAGCTCACCCGCACCAACAACCCTGTAAGTGCCCCCACTTGCACGCCCACTCAAAGGGGCCCTTGCAGGACTGGCAGCAGCATCTGGGTGCCCTCCCTCCCTCCCTCTCCCAGAGCTGCCATAGAGCCTGCACCCTGTGGCTCCGTGTCCCCTGGAGAATGAAGCTCACTCTCTAGTCTTCCAATCAAATGTTCATTCAGTTTTGCAAGAGATATTTAATATGCAAAAAAAGCTATAACGGAGTAAGTTTTTTTTTGTAATAATTGCTTTTATTATTGCTCAACATTTATAAATCCAAGGGATGCAAATGGCAACTTTGGAACTGTGGTTTTTAAGATGAGTTTTAATGTAATCTCTGGAGTTGAATATCACTTGATTTTGTTTGCTGCCATATGGGGCAGGCACTCTACTACTGAGCCACATATTCAGTGTGTGTGTGTGTGTGTGTGTGTGTGTGTGTGTGTGTGTATACTGAGGATTGAACCCAGAGTTTGTGCATGCTAGCCCTCTGTCACTGAGCTGTATTCCCAGCCCTACAGTAGTATTCTAAGTATGGCACGGTAGCACTTAAGTATGCTTTCTGTGGAAGTGGGGGCAGCCTGTCTGTGGTTTGAAGAACATTCATGTCATGGCTTTTTAAGAGCCAACGCAATTTCCTTAGACTTTGTATAATTCCTGGGGTCCCATGGCCCAGCCTCTGATGTCCTCCTAAGGAGCCACAGTTACATGGCTGCTGACCCAGCTAGTGCTCTTTTCTATGGGTGCCATCACGTGGGACTTGATAACGAAGAGCAGCGGACCAGGCTTTGAGTGGCGAAGCCTTGGGCAGTGGTGTCCCTGTGTACATGGACTATGGTGTTAGACAGGGCGTGTGTGATGGCCAAGGGCGGGCAGATGACTGAATGGGCTCTAAGCTGTTCCCAACCCTGAGGTTAGGGCTTTCAAGGAAAGCTTGTAAGGGGCTGCTGCCCTCTGAGGTGTTTGTGTCCTGCCATGGAGGCACTCTTGGGCTGTCATCACCTAAACCATTTGCATTTCCCCAGTCAGGCGGAGGAGACAGCATCCTGGAAGACAGTGAAAGGCGAGCACACGGTGACCACGTCCATAAAAAGGATACAGTCTTCACTGATGAGTTCAAGGCATCCTGTGCTTGGTACTGTCTTGATTCCCAAGTGTCCTGCCTCGTCTCTGGTGTGTGTGTGTGTGTGTGTGTGTGTGTGTGTGTGTGTGTGTGTGTGTACAATTGTGCATTTGGATACATCTATTCATCAACCCAGTGTGACCAGGACTATAGTCTGTTCCTCAGGTCAGGGTTGTGGATAGGCCAAGGTTAACCTAATCTCTACTACAAAGATAGACTGGCAGAGTCCAGTTGCCCCTTCCTTCTCATTTCTCCAGTGAGCCAGAGGGAATCTGCCCGTGAAGAGTCCCCTGGCAATGCCCACTGGGAGCCTGTGTGCCCTTCTGCATGGGCAGAATAGCCAACTGTCTCTGTGGTACATAGAATTAGAAAAGACAGGAGTTGTACCTGGAGCTCCACGGCAGAGCACTTGCCTAGCGCAGGAGAAACTGAGGTCAGTTCCCAACAGCTTGTGTGAGTGCTGTCTCTCCCTCTCTCTGTCCACCCTCTCTCTCCCTCTCTCCTCCTCTCTCTCCCTCTCTGTTCTCTCCCCCCCCCCCCCCCCGTCTCTATCACACACACACACACACACACACACATACACACACACACACACTCCAAAGCTGCCCTCCATGTGATTCTCTATTGGGCCTGATAATTATCATTAGCAAGTCTTACCTCTGAGTTTTAATAATCTCAATTGTATACGCTTATGGAAAAGGGATGAGGGCACACTTGAAGACCCCTTTATTTACGCTGTATTTCTCTCAAGACAGGAGGAGGTAGCACAGTCCCCCTTCTTGACTTCTGGAGCAGGCGTGGAGCAGGTGTGTAGACGTGTTACCCACTCCACTGCACTGCGCGAGGACAGGGGCAGGCAGGGGAAGGGGTAGGCATGCTGTGTGTGGCTGCTGTGAATCTTAATTCAATTCACTCTGTGTGGCTTACTGAATCAATGTTGGGAAAACAGAGCACTCTCCTGGGAGGAGAGGTGTTTGGTATAAATAGAAGGTATTATCACTGCGAGGCAATTGGGGGACGTCATGTCGCTCATACATACAGCTCAACGCAGCAGCCCCAGCTCCAGCCGTGGGCCGCAGGGCATCCAGTAACCTGCTTCCATTTGCTCATCCCAGGAGAGAGGGCTCTTCCTCTACTCAGCATCCGCATCAGGGAGACCTGAGCAAATCCATGTCTCTCTGGACTCTCCTTGCCACCTTCATTTAGCTCTCTTTGGCTCCGTCATCTCAAGCTACCTTCAGGGCCCTCTCAATTGGGTCCTTCCCACGCTGATGAGGTACTGTGAATGGGGATGCCACTCTCCACCCTCAGCACCAATTCTGAGCCAGAGCTGGGTCTTTCCTTGCTAAAGCACTTTTGTGGAGCTTTACAGAGCTCTAGCGTACACACCACCCAATTCACCTATCTAAGGGTAGTCCCAGTCACTAAGGAGATGGAGGCGGGATCAAAAGTTGAAGGCTGGTCTAGGCAGTTTAATGAGACCCTGTCTCAAAATAAAGCATGGGGACTAATATAAACAATAATATGTCTAGCTTTTATTGTTTTCTCCCAGGGTCCGTGGAAGAGTCTAACAACCAGCTGAGGATTCTAATCTGAGGGATATCAAATGAATCTAAGCACACTGAGTTCGTTAGTCCATTCCTTTATTCTTCTCAGTCAATTCTATCTACAGTTTCTTTTCTGCTCTCATACTTAGCTCTTCTCAGTCCCTCCTGCTGTTCTCTCATGTCTACCGAGTTCTTTCCATCTCCGTCCTCATCTTTGTGCTTCTCAATCCATTCTCCCCAGTGCTCTCAGAGAACCAGTACATATACCCAAGCAGTAATTCTCTGGCAAAGCAACTCGAGGCTTGAAGTTTCAGAGTCACAGAGAGAGGTGATAAGGATCTACACATAAAGCAATAAATGTCAGCTTCCAATTACAACCCAAAAGGGAGTGACTAAAGGGGAGTTCTCTGGTGGGGTCAACTAAAGGCTAAGATCAATTAGGGAATCTAGGACTAGCACCTGGCTGAGGAGGAATTAAAACTTAATTTGCACAAGAAAGAAGCTTGGCATCTATCACCTGCCTGGCCTTGAGGGCAATCTCCTTGGGTCAGTGGGAAGTAACTACCTTAACTCAGTAACTAGCAAATGGCTAAAACTTCATCCCAGGAATGGGAGCAGTAAATCTCTTAAGTTAGGGTCTTGTGTAAATAACCCGGGGTGAAGGTAAGGAGTTGAGGATTTAATTGTTAGTGGTTCTTTTCTCTATCTGTGGGTGAGATGAGCTAATGTTTATCTATGCTCAGTTTTGTCCTTGGAAAAAGGTATCTTTGCTGAAATACTTTTGTCTGGAGAATGGCCCTGGTCAGATATATGTTAATGAAAAGATAAACACAGCTGGGGACAGTTATCCAATTACCCCAAATGTATAGGGAAAGTTGTGCCCAAGATTGAGATGCAATCGTGAGATTACATGTACACATAACATGGAGATGCACGGTAAATGGGGAGAATCATAGCTGTTATTGCACAAGAAGATTACAACAAGAGACAGCCAGTTCATTCGAAAGGCGGTAATTCCATAACACCTTGCAGGATGGTTTCCTCTAACAGAACCCTTAGTTCTGATAGGTTGACCTTCGGAATTCTACTTGTCACTGCTGTATTCTCCATGGACTTTTGCTACCAGCGGCTCTCAATAAAAGAGTGGATTGGCGATATTCCTCAGTGAAAGGACACTTACCTAGTATACTGGCTAGTTTATGTCAACTTGACACAAGCTAGAGTCATCTGAAAGGAGGGAACCTCAATTGAGAGAATGCCTCCATATGATCGGACTGTAGGGCATTTTCTTAATTGGTGATTGATGGGGGAGGGCCCAGCCCATTGTGGGTGGGACTACCCCGGGGCTGGTGGTCCTGGGTTCTATAAGAAAGCAGGCTGAGCAAACTATGGGGAGCAAGCCATAAGCAGCTCTCTTCCATGGCCTCTGTATCAGCTCCTGCCTCCAGGATTCTGTTCTGTTTGAGTTACTGTCCTGACTTCCTTCAATGAGGAACAGCAATATGGAAGTGTAAGCCAAATAATCCCTTTCCTCCTCAACTTGCTTTTTGGTCATGGTGTTTACTACAGCAACAGAAACTCTAAGACACCTAGTATGTGCAAGGACTGAAGTTCAATCCCGAGACTGCACACACACACACACACACACACACACACACACACACACACACACACAATTTGATGTTTTTATTCTGTTTGCTTTTGAGTTTGTGTTCTAAAGCATCAGCTGGCCTGGATCTAAATATATAGCCCAGGTAGACCATGAACTTATGGAGGTCCCCTGCCTATTCCAAGCACTGGATTACAGGCACGCACCACACCATGACTGACCTCGGTTCAGTAAGGTTTTAGCAAAACTGTCCCCACAGTTATAGAACATTTCCATCACCCACATTCTCTAGCTATCTCCTCCTCATCTCTACATCACCACGGCCTTTCTGTTCCTGTCTTTCTATTGCTGTGAAGAGACACCTTGGCCACGGCAACTCTTATAAGGGAAAGCATTTTTTTTTTTTTTTTCGAGACAGGGTTTTTCTGTGTAGCTTTGCGCCTTTCCTGGAACTCGCTTTGGAGACCAGGCTGGCCTCGAACTCACAGAGATCTGCCTGGCTCTGCCTCCCGAGTGCTGGGATTAAAGGTGTGCGCCACCACTGCCCGGCAGGGAAAGCATTTAATTGGAGCTGGCTTACAGATTCAGAGGTTTAGTCCATTACCATCATGGCAGCATGCAGGCAGACCTGGTGCTGGAGAAGGAGCTGGGAGTTCTACATCTGGATCTGCAGGCAGCAGGAAGAGAGAGACACTGGATTTGGCTTGGGCTTTTGAAATTCTAAAACCTACTCCCAGTGACACACTTCCTTCAACAAGGCCACACCCACTCCAACAAAGCCACACCCCCAACCCCTGTCCAGTAGTACCACTCCCTAATGACCAAGCATTCAAACATACGGGCCTATGTGTTGTGGATTGTTTGTATTGTAATGGTGTGTCTCTGTCTATGGCACTTTCTGATTGGTTTAATAAAGAGCTAAATGGCCAATAGCTAGGCAGGAGAGAATAGGCAGGCCTTCCAGGAAGAGAGAAGAGAAACCAAGAGGATGAATCTAGATGTGCAGATTCGCCAATGAGACAAGGAAAACAGGAGGTGTGAGATGGAAGAAAGGTAACGCCGTGAGGCAGGCCGTAGATTAATAGAAACGGGTTAATTTAAGTTATAAGAGCTAGTCGAGAACAAGCCTGAGCTAAGGCCAAGCTGTCATAATACTAAGTCTCTGTGTCACTATTTGTGGGCTGACAGTCCCGATGAGAAAGCTTGCTACACCCAAGGTGGTCATTCTTGTTCGACACCACAGTTCCCGTAGAATCTTCTCCCCATTTCTTCTGTTTCAGAGAAGCTGACATCCTAGGTGCATTAGTCAGGGTTCTCTTGAGGAACAGAATGTGCAGCATGAAAACAGACGTATAAAGAGGATTTATTAAAAGGCTGTGGTCCTTCTAGTTCAACAATGGCTGTCTGCCAACTCACAGTCCAACAATCCAGTAGTTACTCAGTCCGGGAGGCTGGCTGTCTCCGCTGGCCTTCAGTGTATACAAGAACCCTGAGGAAGTAGGCGCTGACGCCAGTAGGGACGGACTTGCCAGTGAGTGAGAGCAAGCGGGCAGAGCACAAGCTTCCTTCTTCCATGTCCTTTCGACGGGCTGCCAGCAGAGGTGTGGCCCCGGCTCTTCCCACCTCCAAAGATCGGAATTAAAGGTGTATGTATCTTCCCAGCTCAAAAGATCCAGATTAAAAGAGGATCTTCCCACTTTAAATGATTTTTTTTTTAATTAAGAAAAAAATCCCTAACCAAGAATAGCCATCATAGTGAGACATATGGTCCTTTTTGAGGCAAAGTCTCACATACCCGAGGTTAGTTTCAAACTCACTACGTAGCTGACGATGACTTTGCGCTTCTCATGTTCCTG